GGGCGGTGGCCTGGGAGGGCCGGGGGAGGGGCGCGGGACCCGTGCGGGCGGGAGAGGGGACAGAGGCTGTTAATCCAGGGATTGGGAGCGCCCCCCCGCCGGTCTGGAGTGTGATTGGAGCCGGGACCGGCGGCGGGACGATAAAAAGGACGGCGGGCGGTGGTGGCCGGGCCAGGCGGCGGCGGCGGCGGCGATGCCGGGCCGGGCGGAGCCGTCGGGGGGACGCGCGGCGGCGGGGCCGGTGGCCGTGCCCGTACCGGTGACACCGGGCGCGGCGGCGCGGCCGGGAGGCGCGGGGCTGCGGGCCAAGGGCTTCGCCATCACCGCCCTGCTGGGGCGTGCCTGCTGCCCGCCCCGCTGCCGCTCCTGCCCGCCCGCGGCCCCCGCCCGCCTCCCGGGCCGCCTCCCGCCGCCCGCCGCCACAAGGAGAACATCTCCGGTGAGCGGGGTCGGGGTCGAGGGTGGCCGCTCAGGCGCGCACGGTGACCCCCGTCCGAGCCGCTGCCGGGGCTGCCTCGCACCTGCGGCCGCTGGCGGCATCCTCCCGCCGGTGCGGCTCCCGGGCTGCCCGTCCCGCCGGGATGCCGAGCGTTCGACCCTCCGGCAAGTGTGGGCTCCCACCCCCTGCCCCGGGATGGCATCACCGGTGCGGCACCGCGGGCTCAGCTGTGGGAGGGGACCCCTCCGTGCCCCGGGCCCGCTCCCCGCGGGCGGCTGGAACCGTGCTTGGGGAGCTGCGCTCGGTTGCCCCGCTCTCGACGGGAACGTGACTCTTCCCCTCCCGCATGCTGCTGCCAGATGAGGACAGCCTGTCTGGGGACGCCAGCGACCTGAAGATGTCCACCTCCCAGATCAAGAGGAAGAAACGCCGGCACAGGTAGCGCCCGGGAGCCAGGCTGGCCCCGCTCTCACCTCCTCGCTGCTGCCACCATCCTCTCGCTGCTCCTCCTCTCCCCAGGCTGGGGAGGTCGGTATCCCCAAGGGGGATAAAGGGAGGAAAGGAGGAAAGAGAAGGGCTGCCGCTGGGGTGGGGGGAGGATTTTCCGGGGGAAAACCTGAGCGTGGGGGGCTGCCAGCCTCGCTATTTGCCCAAGGGTCCGGACGGTGTGACAGGATGCTCTCTCCTCTCGGCAGGACTGTGTTCACAGCTCACCAGCTGGAGGAGCTGGAGAAGGCTTTCAATGAAGCGCACTACCCCGACGTCTATGCCCGGGAGATGCTGGCTGTGAAGACGGAGCTGCCGGAGGACAGGATACAGGTAGGGGGCTGCAGCGGTCCTCTCCCTTCCGAGGGATCTGCGGGCTGCCAGCATCCGGCCGTCTCTTCTGCTCTGCGGCAGTGGGTGCAGGTGGTGGGAACGTGGTGGCACTGAAGCGCTGCAGGGTGCCTGGCAGGAGGCTCAGCTTCTGCCTGCTGGCACCGAACAGCCTCCAAATGGACATGCAGAACCAGGGGACTGAGCTGGCCCCAGCAGTTGCTCATTGCTGGCAACTTGGCTCTGTCCTCCCACTTAGGCTGGAGCTGGGAGCAATTTGGAGCTGCTGGGCCAAGCTGTGACACAGGAACTTGCTCACTAATTTGCCCTTTTGAGGGACATGTGGCATTTTAGAGCCTGATCCTGCTCCCCTGTAAACAGCTCAGTGGCTCAAGAATGAGGTAGTGGTCTGGGTAGCAGCCTGGTTATATCTACTGCCTTGAACCTTCAAACAGAGGAGCGGGGTGGGAAGAGGAACCTGAGCACCTTCTGTCATCATTGATCACTGCATTATGGAGCCCTTTTTCTGGAGAGGCTGGTGCTTTGTGCATCAGGCAGGGAGTACCTGAGGGCAGGCAGAGCAGCGTAGGGTGACTTTGGCTGGGATCACCCTCCTGTGTCACGATCAGCCTCATGTTAACATGTGCTCCCTCTCCCTCCCTTCCTCCCCTCTCTGACACCCACGTGTGTGCCCTCCCTCACACCCCTCCCCACACTCTGGCTGCCCTCCCGGTGCCGCCTGCGTGTCCACACCCCATGTCTGCACCCCCAACCCCCCCACGCACCCCCACGGCTGACTTTTGCCCTGGATGGACATTCCCCCGTTCCCGATGGGCCTCGGGGGCTGTCTCCTCGCCAACCCCACCCCTCCGTGCTCTCCTGGCTGTTACCCCTGAAGGTTTGGTTTCAGAACCGAAGAGCCAAGTGGCGGAAGCGGGAGAAGTGCTGGGGCCGGAGCAGCGTGATGGCCGAGTACGGCCTCTACGGGGCCATGGTGAGGCATTCCATCCCTCTGCCCGAGTCCATCATCAACTCCGCCAAGAGTGGCCTGGTGGGATCCTGCGCCCCGTGGCTGCTAGGTAAGTGGGGACTTGGGGTGCTGCTGGGGGGATCAGGGCTCAGCTTCTTCTTCCATACGGCTGCCCTTGCCCTTTTCCAGAAAGGAATGAGGCCTCCCTGGCCCTGAGCTGTATACAGGTTGGTTTTCCATTTCCTCCTTGCAAAGAACAGCTGGGAAAAGGAAAACCTTTTACTGCTGTGTCAGACAGGTGCCTGCACGTGGGTGGGTATCACTCTGCAGTGCTAGCAGGCAGCATGGGAGTTGCAAGGCATCTAAGAAGTCACCACCACCTCCCCCTAAACCTCAGAGCTACCTCAGAGCTGCCCTCTACTCATACACAGTCAAAATCCAGGTTGGAATGGGTCATTACAGCACATCTCTCCCTGTAAGCCTTGCCTGCTACAGGGAAGGTACAGACTAACTTTGCCACAAGACATCCCTCGGGCTGCAGAGAGCAGGTGGCAGGGCTCTGGGTTGGGAAAGGCCGGTAGTTAGAGAGAGCTTTCCTTGGGATTTAGGCAAGAACTGAGGGAAGCAGCAGTAATTCAGGAGGTTATTCTGAGCATTCCCAAGCAGAAATAAGCAACCAGTGCCCTTGGCTTTGCTCTCTCCCCTCTGCAAGGTATGCACAAAAAGTCCATGGAGGTAAGCAGGAAGGCAGAGAGCCAAGAGAAGCTGGCAGATGGCTGGCGAATGGAGCAGGAGGAGGAGGAACTCAAAGGGACGCAGGCCAGCTCCCAGAAGGGCTCCGACAAACTTGGGCCTGCAAAAGACTCGGAGGACACAGCCATCGACCTCTCCAGGACAGCCAAGCATGAGAAGAGGGGTGTGCTGAGGCAGTACATCAACGGGGACCCCCCCAGCGAGCAGAACGACAAGGACCACTGAGCTTGGGCTGCCCCGGAGGAGGCCAGACCTCACAGCATCCTGGCGAGACCATAATATTTATTGATTTATTGATATATATATATTTTTTTCTTAAATAACGGAACTTTTATCTGAATTCAGGGCATTTTAAAACTGGGCACACAAATCCCCTCGTCCCCTCACTTTCAAGCTGTTCACTTCTCAGCAGGGCCAGGGTGGAGGGTGGCAGAGGGGCCAGGAGCAGTGCGAGGATGGGAGCGCTTTGTGGTCAGCACCGACTGCTGCTGGGGAGGAGCCCCCTTCCCCTCCGTGCTGGGACCACTTCCCCAGCTAGCCAGAAGCACAAAGAGGAGCAACGCACTGGGAGTTGCTCCCTCCTCCAACACACAGGTGCAAGGATGGTGCAGGAGTTTACAGACGCCTTCTCCAAGCGCTTCCACCCCGGCGCAGCGCCCGTGTGCGAGTCCTTCCACTCCGAGCACACAAATCTTCCACCTCGAGGAGCAGCAGGGTTTTTAAACATGGTAGGGTTCATCCTCAAGCTGGTGTAACCTGACAGCAAGGCAGGTTTCTATTCCCTGAGGATCTAGCCTGCCAATGCAGCCTTATCACTGGATTTACACTGTGTATCTTCCTTAACTCGTATTTGGGAGAAGGGGGTAAGGATGTTTTTGTTTATGCAATGATTTTGTACACTCTTGAATGTCACTTACCACACTATGCATGATAGAACAGACCTTTTTGAAAAGCAAGCCATAGTACCCTGGAGCAATTAAACAATTTTGTGAAGTGACATAAGAAGATATTTTGTAATTGTCTGTAAAAAGTGTTAATGTCAGAGCTGTTTCTTGGTCACCCTATATTTATGTCTAAAAGCACTTTAGTAATCTGGATTTTTGAATGTGGCTCTTCCTGTATTGTCCACCATTTATTTATTACACATCCATAAATAAAATTGTGGTGTATCTTTGGTTTTCATGTATTGCAATTTATACCTTCCTTTGACACATCTCATGGCAGTTGCTGAACTGGCCCATGCACATGCCTCGACAGCTCTCCTGGAACACCTCCAGTTTCATCTACCAGCCAAAACATAAAATTATCAAAAGGTTTTATTAAAATCTGAGTAATTCCAATTTGGAAAGTGTCTTAATACAGCTCAGGGGGTGTGTGGCCAGGTAGTGATGCTGTCACCTGGTCCTGCCTCTGCTGCTGGGCCTGGCTGCTCTCACAGATGCAGCTACAGGCTGTGCTGGACAGGGGCAGAGAGGGGGGACAGTTCCTGGGAAGAGCAGAGCAATAAGTGGCACGTGCAGATTTCCTGCCTTTCCCCTCCTCTGCTTGGCCAGACCCCACCAGGCGGCCAGGGGGAGGGGTAACATATGCATGGCAAATACAAGCTTTGCAGGAAAAAAAAAAAAAGTTTGCTGGGGGGGCTGTGGGGAGCACAGTTCAGGAAAGGACCAGCCAGGGCTTATTGCAGCAGCAATTAGGCTCACTGAGAGCCGAGACTTAGCACATTGGAGGCCTAATCCTGCCTGAGCAGCATCTGCAAACCTTTTATTTGGGCTGTGCCACGCTGGCACTGAATGCTTGCAATCCTTTTTTTTTTTTTTCCCCTTTGGTCTGCCTGTGTGCAGATGGCCTGGCTCTTTGCCTTGTGCTGGCTGCAGCGCTGTGAGAGCGAGCACGTCACCACCACGAGTACTACAAGGGGAGACACTGTAGTTCCAGCATGCACAGGGTGCAGACCTCTGGAGCTCCTGGTAGTGCCTGGTGGGATCCCAGCTCTCACCACAAGCTGGGAAGGAGGAGCCAAGAGGAGGGCTACTGGCCCGAGGAACTTTTCACGTGTGGGAAGTGACTGTGGGGTACAGATGCTGGTGGATGGCAGTGACTGCCCAGACTCAGCTCCTGGTGACAGGGTCTGGTGCCCTCCTCGGAGCAGGGCTGTGCTAACCCTGGCAGGGAAGTGTCCACAGTCCTCCAATGTCACTGCTTGGAGCAGCAACAGGAATAGGGCAGCACATTTTTGTTGCTTCAGGTTTGATCCATCCTGAGATCAGTGGCAGCCAGACCCAGCACTACACCAGTACAGTTCAGGCTGGGCCAGTGACAAGAGCGTGACCCCGATGCAAGGCAATGGCTGCCACTCGCAGACATCTACACTGCTGCCCATGTGAGACGCCACAGCCGTCCTGGTGACCACATCAGGGCCTGGTGCCATGAGCTTCCCTCTGTAAGGAGCCCCGGGCATCCCTCTGCCACAAGTGCTGGGCTTGCTCAAGCAGAAGATCCCTTCCATGTGGCCCAGGCAAGAGACATCACTAAATTCGAAGGCAGCGTTCAGCACATGCAGATCTCCACTGACTGCCAGGCACCCGGGGGGTGCAAGGGAGTGGTGGGGGTGCCCCACTCTCTTTGCTTGATTTTCCTTATTTTAAAGCAGAGATAAAATGACCCAACCACTGGTAGTCACATTTTTCTTATGTTCCAGTGATGGGCCCAGAGCAGAGAAGGCTGCAGGGCTGAATTTGCAGAAGCATCTTCATGGCGCCACTTCCTTACACTTCAGCAATATTAATATCTGTGTCACTTTGTTTTGGCCAATCCACCCAAGCCGCAGGTTGGATTTTCAGGCTGGGAGCTCAGGCAGCAAGTCCGAACGCTTTGTAAGCGCTCCCTCGTGTGGAGCGGGGCGATGGGACACGGCGAGCAGCCCGGGAAAGGAGGCTCCTGGAAACCAGGGGCGGCTGCAAGGCTCGCTCCTCGCCCGTATTGCCACAGACCCTGCGGGGCGCGCCTGCTGTGCATGCAGAATTCGATAATCCTGCGGGGTTTGCGTTTCATTACTTTCGTCCGACATCCCCAACAGGCACTTGGTACAACGAGCAGTCTCTGGCAGAGGGCACAGGCGCTGATCGGAGCCTCTGACTTTCTCCAGACTGCTTCAGGTGCGGGCCGACCCTGTCCTGGGGGCATCAGGCACAGCATCGCCTGCAGGATGAGGAAGGGGATTGTCTCCTCTGCTCTGCACTGGGGCCATCCCCAACAGGCACTTGGTACAACGAGCAGTCTCTGGCAGAGGGCACAGGCGCTGATCGGAGCCTCTGACTTTCTCCAGACTGCTTCAGGTGCGGGCCGACCCTGTCCTGGGGGCATCATCGCCTGCTGGATGAGGAAGGGGATTGTCCCGTCTGCTCTGCACTGGGGCGGCCTCACCTCGAGTTCTGCGGGCAGTTTTGGGCACTGCAATGTAAAACGGACATTAAAATTATTAGAGAGCTTCCAAAGGAGGGCTACGAAGATGGTGAAGAGTCCGGAGGGGAAGCCTTGTGAGGAGCAGCTGAATTCACTTGGTCTGTTCATCTTGGAGGAGACTGAGGGAAGACTCCATCGCAGTCTGCAGCTTCCTCACGATTAAAGCAGTGGGACAGACGCTCATCTTTTGTCTGTGGTGACCAGTGACAGGACCCGAGAGAATGGCTCTGAAGCTGTATCAGGGGACGTTTAGGTTGGATTTAGGAAAAGTTTCTTCAGCCAGAGGGTGGTTGGGCACTGGAACAGGCTCCTCAGGGAAGCGGTCACATCACCAAGCCCGACAGAATTCAGTGGGTGTTTGGACAATACTCTCAGGCATTCTCTGTGATTACTGGGGTTGTCCTGTGCAGGGACAGAAGTTGGGCTTTGATGACTCTGTGTGTCCCTTCCAACTCAGACTATTCTATGATTTCCTAGTTTAATTCAGCACTAACACCAATACAAGTCCATTCTTTTAAACCAGGTGCACGTGTCCAGCCCGCACAATCTCCTCAGGCTGCCAGGGCGAGGGCACCGAGTGTCCTTTCCCTCGATCCCACACTGCGCGCCCGTGAGGCTCGCGGGGGGCTGCAGACTGCCGGAGCCGGGGAGCACGGACCGGGCGTCACCGGGTGTCGCTGCCGCCGCACGGCTCGGAACGAGTGCCGGAGCGCTCCTCCCCGGCACGCCCCGGGGCCGCCCCGCGCCGCCGCTCTGCGGCCTCGCCGGGGTGGGGCGGCCCCCGCGCTCCGCCCCGG